CGGCAGAGAACGTGTTTCGCCGAGATGAACACGGTCCGCAAGTTCAACTAGCTACTTTAACCTTATTTCATGTAAATATGCAAGCTTGAAGTGATTTTGAGCTCAAATTGCTTACAAATGAAAAAAACCAAAATAAAGAACCATATATATATATAGTGAACAAAATGAGATAAGACAATGGTGAAAAATGAGAGTATGAGATTGGTAACCTTTACAACCAAGAATCGACGGAGGAATCGAAGAAATCGATGGAGGAATCGAATAATGGATGGAGGAACAATGGAGGAAGGGAGGAAGCAAGAACACTACTGCAGTGAGCTTCAAAATGTGCCGAGCTCGGGCTCGGGAGGAAGGAGGAGACGGCCGATTTATAAGGGAGAACATTTAGTCCCGGTTGGTGGATCCAACCGGGACTAAAGGTAACTTTCAACCCCGGCGCAGCCACGCCCGGAGTAGACCTTTACTCCCGGTTGGAGCCACCAACCGGGAGTAAAGTATACTATTTAGTCTCAGTGGCTCCAACCGGGACTAAAGGTCCCTGCCACCTCTGTCTCGCGCAGTAGCCGTTAGGGCAGGGATTTTAGTCCCGGTTGGAGCCACCAACCGGGACTAAAGGTATCTCTAGTCCCGGGCGCAAAAAATTCCGGGACTAGAGCCCATTTTAGCCGAGGATCAAAGGTCTGTTCTCTACTAGTGAACCAAAATAAACTTTGTAGATCTCGAAAAGTTATGAAACTTTGTAATTGGCAACTTTTTGATTTGAAAACACCTTGTCATGCAAAACTGCATTTGAATGTTTCATGCCTCTTGCAGTTTCCAATCGACTTGGAACAATATGACCGAAGAGAGCAAGCAGAAAAGTGGCCTGGTGATAAGGACCAATAGGCAGGGAATCGCTAGGCTAATTTTATCGAGGTTGATTACTACAATGTACTTAGCATATCAAAGTCAATCTTTTCACAAGAATTATTCTCTCTAGTTCTGTACAGAAGCACTGTTTGGCATTCAGATTTTCTACAGGATGAGTCTGACATTATTTTGAACTGAAATATTCCAGAGAAACGATCTCTAGTTGATTCAGTTTATACGTTTTGCGTTATTTTGGCATTCTGATTTCCCGTCTGATTCAGTTTATACATTTTGCATCATTGCATCTTAGAGGAATGATCTGAAGATGGGTAAGGGGAAGATTGCTGCAGTGCAGGTGAGACCTTTGCTTCACTAAACCATGATATAATATCTTATTCTTCTGTAACTATAGCAATAGTTCCTGCAGTTAACTGTGTTGGTAATAGAGTACTGTCTTCTGTGATGACTTAACTTGCAATAGTTTCCTTCCTAAGGATTGACGTACTTGCTCCATTGACGTACTTGTTTGTATTTTATATATTATCATTTTCTCACAAGCTAGTTTGTTTATTTGCTCATATTTTCCATGGCAGATAGCAGAATCCAATGACATGAATATCTTCTTCCTGAGCACAAGGGCTGGTAGTTTTACTTGTAGTATGTTAGAGGGACATGTAATGGCTTTTGATATTACTTCATGTATATAATTAGAAATTCACTACTACATAGACTTTGATGTGTGAGTTCCAGTAGAAAATTGGGTTTTTCTTCTCTCTTTTGTTTTCAAAATCGTTATCGCAGACGCAGCGTGTTGGCTAAGCGCCGTCTGTGGTAAGATGTCCTACAGACGCGTGTTTGGCTATGCGCGCTTGTGACAAGGGATCATAACAGACACTTGTTTACTGTACACATCTGTGATGACTCCTATTACAGACGCCGTGTACCCTTATCATAGACGTGTTTCGATAGCCTTTTTCTTTGCCGTTTTTGCCGCGGCGATCTTCCAGCTCCGCAGGCAGTGGAAGTCTGAAAGAACAAGGCAACCGATTTGGTCTTTGATGTACTCTTATATTGTAGAGGTCGTTTTGTGTCTTTTTGTCCATCCTTTGTAACAGCCTTTGTTTTTCTTTAGATATATTAGATATGAAACATTCTTTTCAGTGCTTTTATATAGAAAAAAGCTCACTGCCACTTCCGTTAGTTACCGAATGGCACACAAGGAATTGCCTAATAAAAAAAAAATGATACACTTGTATTGAATATTTTGGCTTCTAAGAAAACAATGTTGCTATGGTAATCAAGTCCTTAACGAGATAATCTTGCTGCTTCAAGTCCACGTTTCCAAATAACACACGCAGCTCTTGGAGAAGAGGGCAAGTGCTAGCCAGATATCGAAAGTCATCGCCTACCATAAGCTCCTTGTGCGACTTGAGGATCTTTTGAAGCACGCCTCCTTGGATGACGGCAACTGTGCTTGCTCCGCGAGCACGAGCGTAGTCACCACTACACTCCTGTCGACAAAGCTGCAGAGAACATACTCGCAGATGGACTTTTAGCCTGTCGACGCCATACCGGTCAGCTGCCACGAGCAGATGCTGAGCCATCACGTCCTGTCGCCGCCGTCGATGTCGTCCGGCAACGAGTCGGTGTAGATGAAGTGGAGCAGGGCCCTGAACACGCTCGCCTCGACGTCACGGATGTTCAAACTCGTCGCGCCGCTCTCCTTGTGTGGCCCGCCGAAGAACACGGCCCTGAACACCGGAGACAGCGCGGCGAGCACGCCCGGTGCGCCGAGAACGCCTCCCCGCCCACCTCAAGCGTCACGTCCGCCCCGTCCCCGCTAGCGAGGAGGTCGCCGAGATGCCGGTGCAGGTCTGGCAACGGTGGTGCAGCCGCTGACAGTCGTCCACAGTCCTCTTCAACAACTGTAACGTCGCACCTTAAACTGAATTAGTCGTCTTTCACGTAGGACGACCGAATTCCTTCCTCTCCTGAACCGTGCGAAGCGCCACGACTGACCTGTTCTCGAGAAGGTCCACACGCCACCGCATGTTGCGGCGATAGATGGCACTGGATCTCCGGCCTCGTCGAGCAGACTGAACTTGGCCCGTACCATGACGTCCTTCTGCCGGCACGACGTTCAAGACGTAGGGCGAAAGAGATGCAGTCGGCGGTGTCCTCGGTGAGGCCGTCGGGGAAGTACGTGATGCACCAGGTGTGCCCTCCGACGACGAACGGGCATGATTTCACAGCGTCTGGCGACGCCTAGTAGACCTTTGATTTGGGAGTAGCCCTTGACCTTGAGCGCGTGCCAGCCAGTCGCTGTCTTGGTGAACATGGTCGACGACGCTGCCGTCCGTCCTCGCCGCGTATCGAAAAGCGGACTCCCACGACCTTTGTAATTGACAACTTTTTGATTTGAAATCATCTTGTCATGCAAAACTATGTTTGAATTTTAAAATTTTAAAATTCAAATTTTGTAAACGACCTCGATAGGAATACTTCCTAAGCTAAAAGTGTAGATCTCGAAAAGTTATGAAACTTTGTAGTTTACAACTTTTTTATTTGAATTCGCTTAGGGCCTCAAACATGCAATTTACACTTGGTAAAACTTTTTGCCGTAGTGTTTTTTTTGACACTCGGCAAAGAAGTTTTTTGCCGAAAGTGTTTTTTGACACTCGCAAAGAAAATTTCAATGCACATTTTGAAATAAAGAAATTAATTCAAATGAAATAAGCTAACTACAAAGTTGTATAACTCATTAAGATGTACAATGTTTGTTTTGGTATTTTCTTCATACATACAAGTGAAAATAAATTTGTTCATAATCTAATATATCTCTTTGTAGTTTATGAAACTACAAGAGATATATAAGATTTGTGAACAATGTTAGAACGACCATGTCGGATGAATGATGACCAAACAACCAAAATAAACTTTGTAGATCTCAAAAGTTATGAAACTTTGTAATTGGCAACTTTTTGATTTGAAAACACCTTGTCATGCAAAAAACTGATTTGAATTTCAAAATTTTAAAATTCAACTTTTCAAACGACCTCGATGAAAAAAACAACCAAAATAAACTCAGAGATTGAAAAGTTATGAAACATTGTAGTTGACAACTTTTTGATTTGAAAACATCTTGTCATGCAAAATTATGCTTTGAATTTCAAAATTTTAAAATTCAAATTTTGTAAACGACCTCGGATGGAAAAAACTTCCTAAACTAAAATGTAGATCTCGAAAAGTTATGAAACTTTGTAGTTTATAACTTTTTTATTTGAATTAGTTTAGGGCCTCAAACATGTAATTTACACTCAGTTTAGTATAATATATTGGGAACTAAAATGTAATGCATACACAAGTGAGAGGTGTGATGTAAGTGGTAGAGGAGGCATGTGCACGTACCGGAGATCTCGGTTTGAATCATGGTCGGCCACGAGCCATGAAATTCACGCGAAAATGTCGATATGGTGGGCGCACGGTGGGGGGCTTCCATCGATAAATAAAAATTTCCATTTTTTGGTAAAATTCCCATTTTTTTCGGTTTTTTTCGGTTTCAACTTTGCCGAAAAGTGTCTCGGCACTCGGCAAAGGCTTTGTCGAGTGTCCGATTAAAGACACTCGCAAAGACGCTTTTGCCGACGGTTTATTTGCCGAGTGTTCTTTGCCGAGTGCAAATTAGGCTTTGCCCCTCGCACTCGCAAAGACACTCTTTGATTCCCGTAGTGTTTGAGGGTGCGCTTGGTTGGTCTTTGGCTTTTGCTTTTGACCCCAAAAGCCAAAAACCCAACTAAATGGGCTGCTTTTGGAGGCTGTTTTTCGTAAGCCGCGGCTTCTTCAGAGTACATTTTTTAAAAGCTGGGTTTGATCTTGTTTTTACCTTTTGACTTTCGTTTTTCAAATTGGTGGAATAAAAACTCTTCCATAGTTGTTTCAAGAGAGATAAAGATAGAATGTATATTTTATACTTGTTTAACCAAACAACTTTTAGCTTTTCTACAAATTACGACCACAGCAGCTCACAAAGACACAGCTCACAGCCCATAGAAGCTTTTTTGTTACCGACATAGCTCAACCAAAACACCCTTAATATAGTAGAGATAGCAGCCGCCTTTGCTCCATTCAGATTGAAGGCGCCATCAAGGTATTCAGGGACCGACCCTGGCGAAGTTGTCCGTGAGGAACTTCTTGCACGCCTCCCTGAGCCTACGGCAGCCATGTTTGTCTGCAAGGTCCAGTGTAGTGATGGCCGTACGTGCATCGTTTATGTAGCTGCAGAGCATGTCGGCGCAGATCAACTTCAGCCTCTCCATTGCATACCGATCTGCCATGACAAGCAGACCCTGAGCCATCACGATCTTGTCCTCCTCGTGCACCTCAAGAAGAGCGTCGGTGTAGATGAAATGGAGCAGGGCCTTGAACACCTCGGCTCCATGTCGTCGATCTGCACACGAGCCCTTCCCTGCTTGTCCAAAGAACTCGGCCGTGGACTGGGAGGCGAGAATGCACTTGTGCGCCGAGAACAGATCGCCGCCAACCTCAAATTCCACTTCAGTTCCCACCTGGTTTGCTAGGAGGTGGCCGAGGTGCAGGTGCTGGTTTGGCGGCCGCATTGAGTGATCTCCTTGACGACAGTGACATCACACTTGACATGGAAACTGTCCCCAAGAAGAGGCTCCGTCTCCACATTAAGAGGGAAATAACAGCGGCATCTATCATTTGCATATGTGAAGGCATAGCAAAATTGGACCGACGATATTATCTCTCGAGCAGGGTCAACTCGAATCGCACCTTCAGTACTTGATCTACATCTCCATCGTTATGGAGGAAGACGGTAGGCAGCCGGTGTCGTCATCCTCTTTTTCGCGGCTTGGGTAGAATTCGATGTCCCAGCGGCGCCTCCGACGACGAACCATTCGGATTCAACGGAGTCGCCGGGGCGGAACATCTTCTTGGTTTTGAGTACCTGTCGATCGTCAGGACGTGCGACCCGGAAGAGATTCTCCTGCGGTGCTACTGCTGGCGCTGGCGGATGTTGGGGAGGCTGCCACGTGGGCAGATGGGCCTGGTAGTCCTCAACTTGTATGGACGCAGTAAAGTAGGTTAGTTTGCGATCAGTAAAAGCATGAACAGAAACTTCGCAATCTACCCCTAATAATAATAAAAGGCAAAATTTCTGGTTATTTTTTTTTCGTCCAGCCCATTCTAATCTAACCCAACAGTTGGCCCACCTTCGTTTCCGCTCGCCTCAGCCCAAGTTGTCGCACTCGCACATGCTCCCGTCCGGGCCGTTCCGTCGTTCTTCCTCTTACTCGAAAAAAAGAAAAAGAAAAATCGTTCGTCTTCCATTCGTTGCCCGCCCCGCAGCTGCGGCGGCGTTGTCGGGGATGGCAGTGATGACGGCGTGAGGAGCGGCGAGGTAGTCCAGCAGCTCGGCGTTCCTGGTCCCCTGGAGCGCGGCGGCTCAGGCGGAGGTGCGGCTGAGGTCGACGACGAACTCGGCGAGGACGCGGTTTGCGACGCCGAGGTGAGCCTCAGCCCGACCAGACCTTGAGACGAGCGAGAGCTGCATGAGCCGACGCATCCCTCGCCACCGCGCCTGCGCCGGTCGCCGCGGGCGTGGTATGGGGTTGGGGCACGCCGCGCAGCCCGCCGCCGCTCAGATCGGGGAATCCTGTCGTTCGATGCGCCGCCTCCTCCCGTTGCCCTCCGGGATGCGTTCTTCCAAGAAGCCGGTGCCGCCGTGTTAGCCGAGCGAGTTCAAATCGGGATCGGAATTTGGAATCGAATCGAAGGTGACTTAAGCTCCTATCAGAAAAATAAAATCCAGGGTATGTTCGACATGAACTCCGACACGAATTCCTTCCACTTTGTTTCCTAATAAATATAGAGAAGGCGGGTCAGGTCACATGCGGCCTGTGCCTGCGGCGGAGGTGATGGACGCCATTGCGGCTGCGCTGCTGTCGGACCCGTACGAACAACTGAATGGCGCGCAAGATCATGGCCATGGCCATGGCGGATGGGGCCTCACGCCCGAGCTTGAGTCCACATGGCTATGGCAGACAGTGATCGCCTGCCGACGAGCTTCGCTGACATGGCTGCCAAGCTCGAGGTGCCTCTCCATGGCGCTGACATGTAATTCCGCACCGAACTCGATGACAACGTGAGAGTTTACCACCTCGCGTCACCTCACCTGGCTGCTTGCTGCTCTAAATTTTGTTGGTTTCGGCGGTGTCTTGCTTGACTGATGAACCAGTTGATTTCGCTGCGATTCTGGTGTTGGCGAAGGCTGTTGGTCAAGGAGCACGACTAGCAAAAAGCATTTGTTGTATAATTACTAAAATCATGTTTCCGTTGGTTGGCAGGGCGCGTGCGGATCACCAGTCGGTGTTCGTGGGTGCCACGCTAACAACCGTGTAACAATTTGTTCTCCCTCAGGGTCATGCGCAGATGTACAAGAAGCTGGCCGGGGACCTGCTAAGGTGATTGCTTTTGTGATCTATAATCAAGATCAGTGTACCTCACTGGAAACTCACATTAGTTGTTCCATTTTGTTTCTTTGAATTGAATATGCATTTGGAAACCTTCAAGCAGCATATGATGCAGTCGCTAGGCTATGATAATTCCCAAGTGAGTCACCCTCCGATCCCTGAATTTTTCTGTTGGTTTGTGCAAAGCAGTAAGGCAAAAAATCATTGTTGACCTTAACAGATGCAGGAAACGATAGACATAAGAACCTGTGAGCAATAGGGTAAAAGCAACTTCGTGGAAAGGTACCGCCCCTTGCACAATGTCTCATGACTCTCATCTACTTGTGGTGGCATCCTGTTACAACTATGTGTCACATGAGATGATACCGCCTCTGCATCATTTCTGTAGATGGACTAGAGAACAGCAATCCTGTATCTATTTGTTTTTTAATGTCTTGCAGTATCCTAGATGGCAACAATGATTGCAGATACCATTAAGACCTAACTTCTGTTAAAGTTTCGTGATTTTTGCGAGGGATGTATATGCTCATTTGAATATTACTATTGTATTTGTCAACATTCTGAAACTGCAGTTGGTGCAGTGTTGTTAGGGCTTGCAGAATATGTTCTTCAGGTGGTTTATGCCAGTTAATAAAGCGATCACCTTCATGATTGGTGGCATTCTGGGTTGGATTGCTTGCAACTGTTGGCCCACGGGATCACTGGCCTCGACGACAGTGAACTAGTCTCCGCACCACTCAGTCTCGCATCACAGTCTCTCGTGATCACTAGTCTCCTAGACTAGACCACTAGTCTCCTGTGATCGCACCACACTAGTCTCCCGCACTGAGACCACTAGTCTCCAGAGCACTAGTCTCCTGCATCAATATACCGGGTTGTGTCCATACACACAATACCACGGATCGAGCTAGAAGAAGAAGGAGAATAGCAAGCACGCACAATACAAGACAACAACGCTGGCCGAGATCCTCGTCTGTGGTGATGGCAAATCGAGCTCTTTTACCGAGTTGCCTTGGTGCCCTATTTATACAACTCTATTTATCTAACTAAAGTACAGCGCATATGCTGTAATAAAGAATTAGATAAGCATACAGTATCGACATCACTGCCATCCATCGATGACAGCCATAAAGGTCGCAGTGAGCTATGCGGCGCTCGCACTTCACAAAGCTAACCAATCAGACATCAGAGGGGCAAAGTCGGCGCCGCTTCCTTCCTTCGCTTGTGTTTCACACAAGGTGGCGTAGATTAGCTAACAATCTTTCCCCTAATCCTACTACTAACCTTGCACCCTCCATGCCGATCATCTCCTTCACCTTCGCGAGTCAAGTCGTCCGAGCTGCTTGGTGAGGACGCCCGCAAGTTGCCGTACCAGTTTCATAAACTCGATGACGACCGCCTCCATCATCAACATGTCCCGGAGAAGCGGAACTTCACGCCAATGTGTTTACTCCGGCCGCAGTAACCGGATTCTTCGCGAGGACGATGGCGGCTGGTTGTCCACCATCGCTGCTGTGGGTGAGCTTCCACGCCGTTAGCTTCGCCCAGCAATTGCGAAGCACACATCAACTTGGCACGCCGCTGCGGGTCCGCCGCCACGTGATTTCGGCCGACGAGATAGCGCCACCACCTTTTGTTTTAGCGATACCATGAAATTGGGGTCGACCCGAGGAAGACGAGTGCTACCAGAGGTGCTCCGGCCGTCCGTCCGATGTCCCCCGCCATGTCCGCATCGCGTCAATACCGTGAGTCGCAGCCTACTTCCGGTCTTTGGGAAGATGATTCCATAATTCACCGCCCCTTTGATGTAGCGTAGTAGCCGTTTACCGAGCCCAAAGGATCCTCTCTGGATCCTCCATGAAGCGACTAACGAGCCTTTACGGGCGAACGCAATGTCCGCCATGTGGGACTAGGTAGCGCAGATCACCGACGATGCTCCGGGTAGAGTGTTGCATCTACTTTCGCCATGTGTCGTCTTCATCGCCTTCACCGCCTCCATCGGAGTCACGCATGGCTTGCACTCCACCATGCCGCCTCCCTTCCAACAGCTTGAGGCATACGCGCTGCCTTCGCGCGTGAGTTCCTCCTTCTTCTTTCACCTCGATGCCGAGGTAGTAGGAGAGAGCCCAGATCGCCTATTCGTGAAACAAGCTGCCATCTCTCGCCAGTTATTGATATCTTCCGCGGCGTGCGCCGGTGACGCCCATTGTCATCCACATACACACCGACCACGAGTTCTTCCTTCCCCGCCGTCGATGTAGAGCGCGTGTTTCGCGTTAAACCTTCCAAACCCAAGCTCGCCAAAGGTGGTGTCAAGCTTGGCGCTCCATGCTCGAGGGGCTTGCTCACCAGAGAGCGCGAGCAATGAGCACCTCGCACCTTATGCCTCCTTGACAACAACTCCCGGAGGTTGCCCGACGAAGACCGCTTTCCACCACCGCTGAGGAAGGCCGATTTAACGCCCGCGATGGACGCTGCCACCTTTTGGTTGCCGCCAAAGCAAGTAGCAAACGGATCGACTCCCATGCGCCCCTCGCGCAAAGACCTCGAAGTCGATGTTCTCGCTACCGATTAAAGCCTCAAGACGAGGCGCGGTTTTGTACTTGACAATGGCGCCGAAGCTCATCCTTTTTGACTTTGTACACCCACTTCAGCTCGATCGGACGGCATCCTCGGGTGGATCGACGAGCGCCAAGTCTCTCGCTTTCTCGACGCCTTCATCTCCTCCAAAGATTGCCCGTCGCCAGCTTCCATCGCTACCGGGCTAGCGCGAACGTGGTGGTTCCTCTCTCTGACCGACGTAGTAGCAACTCGCCGCTGAGCAGCTTAAATTCACCGCCAGACTTGAGGGATTCGTGTCACCGACGATGTCGCCTCGCAATCATGCGGGAACCTCAACTCCTCACCTTCGTGGTAGGCGCCCACGAACTCAAGGATGTCACTTGGAGGTGAGGCGAACTCGATCGGGGTGATGGAGTTCTTCTTCACGGAGTGCCTCGTGATAGCACCTAAAGTGCTCGGCATCGCTTCGATCGTCATTATAACTCCCTGCAGTTGTTCACCACACCGAGGAGTACTGTAGCTTCGGCCTTTGGAGTGGTCGGAACCACACAGATGTCTTG